TGAAACCCTACACCCTTCCACAGGACCTCACAAGCCGCGGGCCTCACGCAGTCCTCATTCGGGATGACACCCAGCCTTGAGATGCGCGGCTCTTTGAGGCTTGGCTTTGCAGGGTCTCATTGTTTAAAGGCTAAAATGAGTTTAGCGCTTAGGGTCTAGGCTTAGGGTTTCTTTGGGGTGGGGCATCAGGAGCTCATAAAGCTACAAGGGTAAGATCCTGGGCTTTGTGCTCGTTTAAAACAAGCGGGAGCTATGAAGGGGCAGGCCGATGACGGAAGCAAACTACGTCTGGCAGCTTCCACGAGACCGGCCCGCAGAGCAGTTCAAGGCTGGCCCTACTTATGACCTTACCTTACTTCTCCAATAACCAAGGGGAAAAAAGGTTAAACTTTAATATTCCTCGTAAAAAAAGAAACCCAAAAAGTTTAAAGTTCAGCTAAAGGCGAAGTAAGTTACTTAGGAGTACCCGTGAGTCTCAAAGGTAACTTATAGGTTACCCGGTAGCCAGGAAAGGATCAACCAAGCACCATTGAGGGGGCCGAGATAAGCGTCCGTATACCCAACCCGAACCGCTCCCCCCCAACCGCCGCCCCCCAAAGCCCTACAGCTTTCAAGCTCAGGATTTTGTGTTCAGAGCTAGCCTACAGGTGTCTTAAGGTGCAGGGACAAGGCTTTGCCAAACGCATTCATTTCGTCCCACACAACACTAAAAGAAAACCTTCCATGCAATCTGGCAAACCTCTTCGGGGCCAGAGTGACTAGAGTCCCAGTCCGATAGAAAGGGTTTAGGCTTTAGGCTTTAGGCTTTAGGCTTTAGGCTTTAGGCTTTAGGCTTTAGGGTTTAGGGTTTAGGGTTTAGGGTTTAGAAAGTCTAAGCCACCCGCATTGCGTCGTCCTCACGTGTCTTTGACGTGTCCAAGACGACGACGAGATTGTCCTGACATTAAGGCAGCATCCTGCACCCCCCCCCCCCCCCACCCACCCCAAACTAACTACCCTTCTAAAAAGGGGGCTTAATGTACCTACTGGTATGGTTAAAGGGTACTTGGGGGGTGCTGGTAGGGTTGAAGCGAGTTGAGGGGGTATGGAGTCCACCCCACATTGGTCAGGGCAGCGGAGGATGCCCCCCCGGCGCGACTCAACGGCGAAAGTGCAGGTAACCGGACTCCTGATCCCTGAAGGCCCATGTACCTACATGGTCTATACCTGGGCCTAAAGCTGCTATATGGGAACCCCTTAAAGGCCCACGTCTATACTAAATCCTTAGGGCTGGCTCCCAGACTGCAGCTTGGATACACAGGTGCTCCTCCACGTTCTGCGAAACCGGGACAGTAAGACTAAAACCCCTCACTCCCACAAATCTCGAGTTTGTTTCTTTTTGAGTACACTTACAACACTTGATTGGCATCTCTAACATGTGGGAATTCCATCATTTTGGGGGATTTGGGGCGAGGTTGTTCCCGAGGTCCCCGGGCTTGGCGACTGCGGGTCAGGAGATCTAAATACCCTATACTCTAAACACTAAGCATGCATCTAGACCCAGGATTAACCTAGGAACCAAAAGCGTACCCTTTTTGGTTTTAGAGGATTATAAGGGAAACCCAACCTAAAGAAAAGGAAATGAGGGCCCACTCCGGGTCCTAGGCATTCTCCCTTCACCCCCACAGCCCTCCTTAACCCGGTACGCTCTGCCTCAGGGCTTAGCTTGGGGTTAGAACTCTGAAACCTACACGCTGCACTTGCAGACCACTAGTTAAAGCAGAAAGTCCTGTTTCTTCAGGGTATGGGATGCGGTACATGGTAGGTTGCTCGCTAGGCCCTTTATGAGAGTACCTGTGACCCTTTCTTGCCTACTGCTTCAATCACATCTTGATCAATACGTATGGACCATCACAAGTCACTAGAATCCAAAGTACAGACCCTGAGACCTCGATGCTTTAAAACCAAGGCTCGGGGGCTAGAGGACACTTCAGGTTTTGGGGTTTAGGGTCTGTTGTGGTAGAAGCCCTGAAATTGTCAGATTCGCACCTCAGCGCCCGTCAGCAGCTTATTGCTGTCTGCTGGATGGAAACGCACGTGATTCACCACGTCGGTGTGGCTATCCTGGTGTGCCGAGTGGCCCATGGACCTACATAGCATGTGCGTGGCCCCCTAGCTACTATACGTATATACGCACATACATACTCGCACCCACCCTGAGCTAAACCCTACATAGGTATGACCCTTAAGGTGTTCATGTTGGAGGCTCTCAGATAGAGGGCTTCGGAAGTGTTGGGGTTGTCCCTGAAAATTTGAAGTTGCTTTACGCACCATAGTTTGCCCTACTTGCAACTAAGCACAGGCCCACAAGCCCTACCCAGAACCTGCACCAAACCCTCCAAACCCTACCAATATCAACCCATACACCTACAAGGCCCTACTAACTACCCATAAATCTAAGGTTGGAACCATGGGCCCTTAGTATGGTCCCTTACCCTTGTTTATTGAGATCCGAAGTATGAGTCCTTACTATGTTATGTAGAGTGTATATAGGGGCTATATATACCAAGGGACCCAAATTAAGGGTCAATTCTAGGAACCCGAGAATAAACCTTCAAGCAGCTGCAGGGCTGCTAGTCCTTGAAGACTCGCGTCTGCTTGCCCTGCCCGACGTCAAAGAGGTACACCTCCCAGGTTTGGTTTAGATTCTGTAGGGTTCTAAAGGTTAAAGGGTTTTTGGGGGTCTTAGGGTTTAAGGGTTGTTGGGTTGAAGGAATGAACGGTTTCCCTAAACACTAAACGCTGAACCTCTGAACCCCAAGCCCTAAACCCTAAACCCTAAACCCTAAACTCTAAGCCCTAAGCCCTAAGCCCTAATCCCTAAACCCTAAACACTAGAACCTCTGAACTCTGAACTCTAAAGCTAAACTAGCCCTGCAGCAGCCGTTCGAAGTGCCAAGGGCCAGGGGAGCTCGTGGAGCTTCCAGGTTTAGGGTTTAGGGTTTAGGGTTCCATAGCTACAGGGCTTCGGAGGTAGGGTGATGATGCCCTAAGAACGCCAAGGGTCCCAACTGAAGCTCTGGGTGTTCTCATGGGAGCCTTTATGCTCCCAAGCCTAATTACATGTATTAATCCAACCAATTGGTTTAGCCATATTAAATAAACTAATGATATACAATCTGCCCTTTTCAAAGGATACTATGATCTTTAGTTTTTATTCTTGAACCCTGCACCCCAAGCATTACAACCCTTACGGGCGCTAGAAAGTGCCGCCGGCGTAGCCCTCTCATATAGGGGCCGACCTAAGTTGTTTAGGGTTTAAGGTTTTGGGTGTAGCCCTAAACCCTAAACCCTAGCTTCAGGTTGTTTTGGGTTTAAGGGATTTCATATTGGCATTGTAAGGGGAAATCTGGATCATTTGCCAACCTGCACCAGGGAGGCCCCTCACAACAACCCCCTAAAGCCAAGGCACGGGCGTAGGGTTTAGGGTTTAGGGTTTAGGGTTTAGGGTTTAGGCTTTAGGCTTTAGGGTTTAGGGTTTGTTACACCCAAAACCCTAAACCGGCTGATGGTCGGAAGGGTCCCGAAGCCCTCCCAACGAAAGGGTCCGAGGATGAGCCCTGGCGCGCTTCGCTCGAGCAACAACCCTGGGGTTTAGGGCTTAGGGTTTAGGGTTTGGGGTTTAGGGTTTATAGGGTTTAGGGTTGGGGGTTTAGCTTCCAACTAGGGTCGTAGGCTACTTTAACTGGCTATGAGCATAGGTACCCCTGCTTGAGGACCTAGCTGCAACTACCGCATGAACCTTCCAGGCCCCAGAAACCCCACCCTGCCACCCTCTCCACCCATGTTAAGGATCCGCCTTGCGCTTGAGTAGCGTTTATGGGGCCCTTTTGCTTACGTTTTGAGGGAAGGGGTTCATGATTTACTGCAAGTTTCAAATGTGAAACATGGCGCTGGCGTTCTGGCGCCCTTGCACCTCTGGATTCTAGAAGGTCGCGCAGCCTTCGTGCCTAAGCGCACAAAAGATCTCCAGAGGCCATTCACCCTGAAACGAACGCTGTGCACTTATGCTCCAGGGTTTTGAGGGTTTGGGGTCTGCAAACCTTCCCACCCCCCCGCACATGCTAGAACCAGCATGTGCGGAAGCACATTGGTTGTTTGGTTGGAGCATTGAAGCCCAGTCGCGCACGATGGACATTTCTGCTGTCGCAAGTTTGTGTTTTTCTCATTCAGCCAGCACGTGTCCACGAACGCGATGTTATCCAGCAACGGGTATGGATGTGCATTCCTTCGGCCATGCACACGGATCTCGAAGGGAGACGAGGAGATGGAGCCCGAACCCTAAACCCTATAAACCCTAAACCCTACACCCTAAACCCCTATAAACTCAAAACCCTAAACCCTAAACCCGGCCTTCTCCGAAGCCGCGCACGCCAGCGCGGCGTCGCGGCAACCGATCGAGCAGCTATAGACCTGGCTCGGCTTCGAGGTTTACGGCGTTTTCGGGCTTAGGGCTTAGGGTTTAGGGTCTAGGGTCTAGGGTTTAGGGTTTAGCGATTAGGGTTTGGGGTTTGGGGTTTGGGGTTTGGGGTTTACAGTTTTTGGGGGTTTAGGGTGTAGGGTTTAGGGTTGTATATGGGGGGTTTCCGAAATTAGGGGTACCTTATTGGGGTCCTTAATTTAAGGGCTCAAGATGCATGAGGGTTTTCCGAAATTAGGGGTACCTTATTGGGGTCCTTAATTTACGGGAATCCTACTATTCGGGGGGTCTATATGATATTCGGGGTCCCATGTTTTCGGGCTTTAGACCTTCTCAAGTAGCGGGCTGCAATGAGTTTACCTTAAGTAACATGCCGATGAATGCTGAAGCCTTTCCAGCCCCCTCCCCCCACTCAAGTCCTGGACAGTTGTTGGTTTAAAAGGTTGGCGGGTTTTGGGTCGCAGGCCGGATAATCCTGCAAACCAAATAAAGCTCGCAGAGAAAAGGCACGCAGGCGCGTCTTCCACGGACTTCTCTTTTCTCACGTGTCGAAGCTCAACGCCTGGTCCAAGAGCTTGCGGACCTGTCCAGAGCGGCAATGGGCGAGAATGTCGAAACGAAACTTATAAGGTATCTCTCCATGTATCTCCCACGTCCTATATAAGGTTCCATGTACCCATGTAGCATATAGTTCGGCGCTGAACCTACGTTGGAACTCATTTAAGGCCAAGTCAAAGTATATCCTATGCAGGTACATGGGGCCTTACGGGCACATACCCAAGCGATCACATACATTCATGCAAGCTGCACTTGAAACGTGTTCACTCTCTTTTTGCAGTGGTGAGAACTGAAGCTTTGCCGGAGCAATCGGACCGGAAATTAAGCTGGAAGCTTTAAACAGTCCGCACGCGCAAGTACCGCAAGACAGCGCTGTGGCTGCCTGCAGCAGCCTACAAGAGGCATGCCAAGGCATCAGACCAAAGCCTAGGCTGCCCAGTAACCAAGGCTTAAAAAGGGTGCCCTTTTTTGCTTAAAGGGGTTGATAAGGGAACCTAAAGCCCACCAAAAAAGGGAATGAGGGTACTACTGGGCATCCTAGAAGCTGTTGAAAACCCTAGAAGCCTGTCACAGCCGCAGGAGACCTGATAAGGTCAGACTGCCAAGCTGCGACCCACCTGCGGTCCAGGGTTTAGGGTTTAGGGTTTAGGGTTTAGGGTTTAGGGTTTAGGGTTTAGGGTTTAGGGTTTAGGGTTTAGGGTTTAGGGTTTTCACTAAACCTTGTGAGCCCTAAGGCCCTTGGGGGTCATGGTTTCTGGAGGCTTGGGGGGCTTTGGGGTTACAGTTGGTTGATTGGTTCAGGAGCGCCTATATAATATGAGTATCAATTTCAATAAAGGGGGCACGGATTGAGCGTTTGCCCGCAGTAGGGGTCAGGGCTATAGAATTTACAGCGAAGTTCACGTTGCAGGGCCCGCGTTCAACTCGTAAACTTATCAGGGTCGGTATGACTCTTCCCACGACATTTCACTGGCTGCAGGGTGCAGGGGTTGCGGGCTTTCGGCTTCGTTTCGAAGTGCCCAAGGCCCAAAAGCGAGAGCAAGAGCAAAGCTTGGGATTCGGGGTTTCTGTGGGGTTCGGCTTGAAGGAGTAGAGTTTCAGGGTTTAGGGTTTAGGGTTTAGGGTCTAGGGTCTAGGGTCTAGGGTCTAGGGTCTAGTGTCTAGGGTGCACAAACCCCCCAAAATCATGCTCACCTCTATCTTGAAGTCTCGCCCGGCAGCTGCCAGCGCCTCTGCGAAAGGGGCGACTACAGCTACTGATTCGCGCCCTGAAGCGCTGACCAAGATCTTGACCCTAAACTCCAAGCCCCGGGTTTAGGGTTTGGGGTTAGGGTTCATCAAAGCCCGAAATCCCAAACTACAAAGCCAAGCAACCAAACCCTGAATTCTCCATGGGTTCAGGAAGCCTAGCTGGCCCAGTTGAACCCCTTCGTTGCACTATTGTCACCCCAGCTTGCGAAGCCACTGCCTGATGTCCCGGCCCTTAGACCTAAACCCAGAACCCCCAAGCCCAAAACCCCAAACCCCAAACCCCAAACCCTAAACCCTAAACCCTAAACAAGCACTTTACAAGCTTTTGTGCCCATGGGGCTCACAGTCGGGCTTAGGGTTTAGAGCTTGGGTTTTTGGAGCTCTAGGGGTTTGAGGGTTCTGGAGTTTAAGGTTTTTAGGCGTTTGGGGCTTAGATTTTGGAGCCTTCCTGGCTTGAGGGCTTTAAGGATTCCAAGGGGTTTAGGGTTTAGGGCTAGGGTTTATGGCTTAGGGTTTAGGGTTTAGGGCTTGTGGTTTAGGGCTTAGGGTCTTAGGGCTTTAGGGTAGGTGCCTATGGATCTCGGCGCCTAAGGTGCCTCCATGAGCGGAGGTTAGAGATCAGCAAGTTACGCTCTGAGGACTTAAAGGGTTTCTGGGAAATGTTCTAGGGGTGAAGGTTGTGGGGCTTTTACTAGGGCTTACGAAGACGAAGCCCGAATTTCCCCAACTTGTGTTCTAGATGTTTTGAAGTTGGAGCACGAGACTTGGCGCCCGTGATTAGGGCGCGGGACTCAATTTTGGATCGTAACGTAGGCGGAGAAAGAGGCCCTAAATGCCTCAAACCACAAAACCGAAAAAATGTTTTCTTTCATGGGGGGGTTTTCAAACGGGAAGCTACCCTTGGAGCAAGAAGGACAGGAGAGTGCCTAAACCCTAAACCCTAAGCCCTAAACCCTAAACCCTAAACCCTAAACCCTGAACCCTGAACCCTAAACCCTAAGCCCTGAACCGGGAAAATTGCAGAGAAATGGTCTGGCCTCTGCTCTGGAGTCGGCGAGCCGCACGCTGTTGGAAAACAAGAGGGCCTGGAGCACGAAAACATCTTGCCCAGAGGGTCCGAGGGTTTGGGGCTTAGGGTTTAGGGTTTGGGGTTTGGGGTTTAGGGCGTTTGTGGTACTATTATGTCCTTAGGTACGAAAAACGCTATTCAGTATGGTTTTTGGATACAGTACCAAATTCCCTACCAGTACTACAAACGGACCCTCTATCTTGGTCAGGGTCTAGGGCTCGCAAGGGTTCATAAGGCCTAGGGTTTAGGGCTTAGGGTTTAGGTTTTAGGATTTCGGGTTTCGGTTTTGGAGGCTTCTAGGGTTTAGGGTCCTATGTTTTTGGGTTTAGGGTTTAGGGTTTAGCCCTATATCACACCCACGCACCGGGATTCGGGATGGAGTTGGCCCAGCCAACCCTAAACCCCCTAAACCCCCTCAACCCTAAACTCAAACCCTAAACCCTAAACCGAAACCCAACTCCCGAAGCCCCGAAACCAGCCAATTCCTGAACTCTGAGAATGCGAAACCCACAACCCCAAATCCCTAAACTCTTGAACCGCTTGGCCTCCCCTAACTCCCCCCCCCCCCCCCCCCCCCCCCCCAAAAAAAAAAAAAACTTCCCTTAAACCCCACCAACCACCTTACACTTCCCTAAGCCCCGAACCCTAAACCGTCGCCACCCCCAAACCCTAAGCTTCCAGAAGCCCTCCCAAATGGGGTTTACGATATTAGGGAGGTCCTGATTACAAGGACTCCTGCCATTTTGGGGTTTCTACTTGGGGTCCTTTTATTTTCGTAAACTTATTGGGATCCTTATCATAAGGGAATCCCACTATTTTGGGGTTCATATTTAGGGTCCCTTAGTTTCGTACACTCCCATAAATTCGCAGCTCTTCGTAGCGCCAGCCCAAGCGTCGATGGCAGAGCCGCCCCGGGCGAAGGCCCCCAAGCGCTGGCCCTTCTTGACACTCACCCCGGCCTCGTGCTAAACAATTCGACTCGGCTTTCGGGGGCTGATGATCGTGTAATTACATAGGCCGTAGAGGAATAATACGACTAGCCGGGTTTTGGGGGGTTTAGTGTTTAGGGCTTCGGGTGTTTGGGGCAGTTTAGGGGTCGAAGAGGTGAGAACGGGGCTTAGTATGGGTTTAGGGTTTGGGGTTTTGGGTTTAGGGTATTCTTGAAGATTCTGAAGCACCCTCAAGCTCTAAGGGTAGTTTCATGGTCCCTTAGTGTGGGCCCTTACACCCGGACCGCGTAAAAACCCTATACAACCCCAGTGCCCTTACATCAGAACCCCTCTAAAGGAGGTAAGGGACCATACTAAGGGCCCATGCAACTAACCTTAGACAAGCCGAAACTCCAAAACACTAAGCCTCAGAAGGGAGTTAGTAGGCTTCAGGTTGGTTTAGGAAGTGTCTGGCATCTTTACAACCCTGAGCCCTTTTGGGGCATTGAAGGAATTGAGGGTTTCGAGGAGGAGGATAGTGACCGCTTGGGGATAGGTGATGTAGGTTCTGCATGGGGGAACACCCAAGAGCGGCAACTCCTTGCAGCCCTTACAACAGAAAAGACAGAGTTTGCTGAAGATATATAGTGGTGCACATGATATTACTTAGAGGGGAACTCATTTAGAGACTCTACCATATGTGAGGCTGTTCCTTCAGAGCATCATCTCTGAAAAGTGCAAGTTGGTCTGCTCACGGTTTCGCAAGAATGCCAACTTCACGTGAAGAGTGTAGGCGAGGGAGGGCGCACCGGCATACAAAACCACGAAACATAAACTCCAATGCTTGACGGTTCTCGTAGAATCCTTTCAACGAACTTGATGGTTCTTCGACTGTGGCTGAGATGGCGCCTCATGATTCTTCAGGTATAACGAACAAAAAAGAACCAAACAGTCATGTCCAAAGCCGGTCTCTCTTCTGCGACACCCCTAAACCCTGAATCCTAAACCCCCGAATCGGCATCTCATCTGCTGGGTGAGAGGCGCGCAGGTTCGGCTCCAAACGGATCGAATCCACGGTGACCCCCCCTGCAGAACCATGGCTCAACACTTCTTATTCTGGGGTCCTTGCTCAGGGGAACCAGTAGAATCCAGGGTTCCCCTGTAACCTAGGAGATGCGAAGCGTGAGGGCTTGGGGTTTAGGACGCCCAAAAGCGCATGGATAATATCCTTGTTTCGATGAGGTCCAGATCGCGCAGGTAGGCCACATTCCCTGCCACCCATGGCGGATGACTTAGTGCGCTGAAGGGCTTTAGGGTTGAGCGCCGGTTTGAGGCCCACACTGCTGCTGAAGGCTCTGCGGAGCGCATCCAGGGCTGCCTGCTCGCAGAACATCAGCAGCCGAGCAGCAGAGCCTTGCCAGGCGGCGTTGTCCGTCCGGGGTCGCCGATCTCCCAGCCGGAGTCCGCAAAGGCCGCTATGTAGCCGAGGAGCTTAGGGCCTGATCGGGCCGCACGCCGCTCCATGTAGCGCTTGAGTTTAGGGTTTAGGGTTGGGGGACTTAAAACGGGCCAGGGTTTAGGGTTTAGGGTTTGGGGTTAGGGGTTTAGGGGTTCATATAGAGATTGTTATTTTACATGTCTTCATTTTTTCTTAAGCAAATAGTAGACTACTGCTTCTCAAGGTAGAAGGGTCTTCCAGCTATGTAAGTAGGTCAGCAAGTGGTAGCTAAACTTAAGGGGTGGCGAACCCTAAGCCCAAAGCCCTAAACCCTAAGC